GACCAACACAGATTGTTACAAGTTTTACAGCTCCATATATTGTCTGAGTTGGAATTCAAGATTACGGCACACTGCTTTCTTCTTTCTCGCTTTGCTTTCATCCTCTGGATCCAAGCTGCTTCAGGCTGAACTGCATCCAGTGCCAGGTGTTCCCTCCAGATTGAACAGGATTCTGTGCACTCCTCCCAGCTTTCTACATTGATGTTAAACAACTTCATATCACTTTTACACATATCGTGGTACTGCCATAAGATTCATGACGGCTCTAGAAAGCGGGATCACCCTTTATGACGGTATAAGGAATTAATCCTTCCAAAGGAGCCAGAGGCAGGACTCTTCGGGTCACTAGGGCCTTATTAGGAAGGAGTGGTTTCAAATAGCATATTCAAAGCCAATAAGTGATTGATTAGATTGATGAGGACAGGTCACACTCATCCCACTCCTGGAAGGCTCTCTGCCTGCTCCAGACACCTCTGACATGTCCCCTGTCAAGTGCTTTGAAGCTGAAAAGTGTTGTATAAATGCAAGGTACAGTGGTCAAGCTTTAAAAAATTTGAAAAATTCGCCCATTTGAAGATTACATAAAATGGAGAATGTGGCAGAAACTGCTAATAGCTTTCAAACCACAAGAAACTTTGTAAGTGCACCAACCTTATTATGACCACTTGAAATCTCTAATTAGCAATTCATCAATTTCTCAAAAGCATCTGCCGTTTTAAGTGCCAGCAAGAGAAATTTACCTGTTCATTGCCAGTGATTTTATCACAGGAGATTAAATCAGGCTTCTGCAAATTTTGTTATAACATTGGTTCCTTAACATATGGGGAAAAAATCAAGCCTTTCCTGATGTGAATTGGAAGACACTCCTGCTGTAGATATTCATATGTACTGTGTGAAAAGGCTAAATGGAACGTTTTCATTTCTTATGCAGTCATTTGAACTGCATAGTGAGCAAAAGCTGCACTATCAATTGAATAGTCACAGTTCAGAATATTTCCGAATCATGAGATGACTTTTCTTTAATGAAAACAATCCATGAAGTGACCCTGGATGGAATTCATCCTTGTGTTGGTGCAGAGCATGGGGGTGGGGGAGGAGGCAGTGGATAAAGGAGGCTTGCACCCTACTGATGCTGGAACTGCTGGGAGACATTTTGTCCCCTGTTGGTTGGGACAGCAATAGGGACAGCTGGCAAGGCCGTTTTAATTTGTGCATGACTGCTATGTTTCCTATGGGTCTTGTGACAGCTGGAGAATAGGCAGTTGGGGCACAGGAACACCCAGGTCACACTCATCCCATTCCTGGAAGGCTCTCTGCCTGCTTCTGACACTCTGACGTCCCCTGTGCAGAGAGTATACAGAGCTAGGTCTGTACCGCTTTAGGCCCCTAAGTCCAAAATCCAGATCTAACACCTGCCTAGTGTCGCCTAAACTTGTAAGTGCCTAAATTCTCTGGGTGCCTAAGTTTCCACTAATAAAGTCTCTTAGGACACCTCAAAGTCTGTGGCTGGGCGTGTGCACAGCCATCTCAGTCCAGATGCCTAGCTCACACCTAAACCCCAATGGGATTCTCAAATTAGGCATTGCCCCACCTGTCTCCTGCAGGGCCTGATCCAGTAAGGCATTCTCAGAGGCTGCCTAACAGATCAGGTCACATGTAAAATGCCATTGGTGGTGGTGCCAGTGTACATGCCCCAGGAGTTAGACCAGTCCCACAGGATGTGGGAGAACTGGGTTCAAGTCTCCCTTTGCCTAATGTGCTGTCGTCAGTTATCCCTTGATACAAGGATGATGTCTGCCAGGGAAAAGTTCATTGATGAGACTTAAGATGGCTGAGGAGTCTAATCTGTGCTCTACAGGGTTTTCCACATATATGACCTTTAACTTTATGCCCCCCCCCCCAAAAAAAAGTTATATTTGAAATGTTCTTACTGTTGCACTTTGATTTGTGTTTGATTTTGAAGGGTTGTGTATAGCTGGTTACTTAAGAATACTGCTTTGTTAAACGTACTTCCAAATACAAAGATTTTTTTTCCTTTGGTTTAATTAACTTTTTTTTTTAATTCTTTCATAATAATGGATGTATGGCAAATGGTTTTGTGAGTCATCATTGCATTTAACACAGAAAATCCTTTAAATAATGCTGAAATCATTCATAGGGTTTTGCAGAAGCAAATAGGGAATGTTAAATTTCAACCACCCACACACAACACTGCAGTGCTCGCAAAGTCTGTATCCCAACACCGCCAACCACCTGCCCATGAGCGAACATCAAAATATGAACAGTAGGTATCCCTGACAGCATTCCCATGTGTTTGTGTTCTTTATGGGAGCTTTGCTGGCTGCTCAAACCTCTGAGCAAGTCTCCACACCTCAGCCTCCCATAGGGTGACCAGCTGTCCCGATTTTTATAGGGACAGTCCCGATTTTGGGGTATTTTTCTTATATAGGCTCCTATTACCTCCCACCCCCTGTCCCGATTTTTCATACTTGCTGTCTGGTCACCCTAGCCTCCCACCCATTGATAAGGTTTTCCCTTTTGCGCTCATAAATATTGTGCAAACACAACATGCAGTTATAATGGTTGGAACATTTTTTTTCTGTTGCTTCCAACCTATTCCATAAACAGAGCCATTTGCCTTTCAAATGGCCAAATGACTTAACTACCTTTCTGAAGCTATTCAGGTGATAGTTACAATGTTCCTTCTTTTTGTCCAAGACACTGGTGTATGGCTTCATTAGCCAGGGCATCAGGGGATAAGACAAGTCTCCCAGTATAACTGGACCAACCTCCATACCATTAATGTCTATAGTGCTCCTGCGAGCAAACAGTCCTTTCTGCATTAGTTTAAATAGTATTGAGTCCTGAAAGTTCCTAGCATTGTGGACCTTCACAGACCACCCTGCATTTGTTTGTAAACCTGCCATGGTGGTCAACCCATCTTTGGAGCATCATGGAGAAATAACCCTTTCTGTTTATAAATTAAGTGCCCGGACTGTATATGTGGGGAAAATGATAGGCACTAGGGGACCATCAGTTGCCACAATACAGTTTGGGAACCCCATGCGTGCAAAGCCATCAATAATCTTCTGAGCCTTGTGACCCAGTTAGACAGCATCTTATCAATGGCATAGCAGATCTGCATGACAATGGCCCCAATAGTTGATCTCCCCAGGCCAAACTGGTTGGCTACAGACTGGTAACGTTCTTGGGGTGAGGGAGAAGCTTCCAGGTGGCAATGGCGACCCATTTTTCCGTGCGTATAGTGCATCACAGGTTGCTATGCTGTCACGGAAACCCCGGGGTCAGTTCTCCACAGATCTCAAGGAAAGGTAGCTCTCCCCATCTTGAAGTTCTCTTGCCACTAGTGGTCGCCCTAGGGCTCCAGAATAATCCTTTCCCACCAATCCACACTGGTTTCTTGGGTCCAGCAACTGTGCTGAATGGTGTATATGTGATCCAGGAACCAGTCCTCTTGTTCCAACACCTCAGTGTTTCCTGCCTCATCCTGCTGCCAGGACTGCGGAGTATCCTCCTGCTGCCCAGGAGGAGCTGCTGCTGTAGAATATTTTCCTGTTCCCACATCATCTGCTCAGTGGTACAACAGGCCAACTCCAATGCAGAATTCATCCAGGTCTGAGCGTTGTAGTACCAACCAAGCAGCATATGTGCACTTGTCACCATAGCAACATGGAGCATTGTTGGATCCATACTGACTGACAGCAATTTGAAAATAGCATGAGCCAGCCCAAAAAGGAAGTATGGGACAGAGTATGGGGTAGTATGGTAGAGATATGGGATTTTTCTTTTAAATTTGAACCTGCCTAGCTTTGCACAGTTCAAAGCAAAAACAGTCCCAGGAGGATGCACACTGCTCAGCACTGAAGCAAAGGACAATGGGATGCCCCTGGAGAATACAATGCCCTCAGTTTGCAGCAAACACCTTGTGTTTAAGTGATGCAAATTGCAAATGGAACAAGCATTCTGTGGGAACACAATTAGTGCAACTTGCGTATCGCAAGTTACCTGATGTGCATCAAAAAGCTTTTGATTAGCAGCCATCCCTCCCATGTAGCCATGACCTAAGTCCCCTTTGTGGAGCTAGCCCTGGGGCCAACCACGAATTTAGCCACTTGTTTCTCATTTCCTTTATTCAAATTCCATAATGGTTGTACCTGACATGGCAATTTGCTGATACTACTTTTTTGAACAAGCAAATTTGCTTTCTACAAATAATAATCTCAAAATTTAGTTTGCATTTGTTTTGGTAATTACAAATAGAAGTTTGTGTAGAGAATAGTGCGGTGGGAGAAAAATCTTAGGCCAGGACTACACTATAGACCTATATCGGTATAACTTCTAGTTAGACTGACCTAACCCCTCTGCATAGACAGTGTTATATGGATGGGAGAGAGTCTCTTGTTGACATGGCTACTGCCCCAAGGAGGTGGATTAACATTTAACACCATGTAGTAGCATCTTCATTAAAGTGCTCCAGCAGTGTAGCCGTAGCACTGTACCTGAAGACAAGCTTTAGCGCAGTGATACACAGATTGTGTCTTGAGCCACAAGTGGTTCTTTAATATGTCTCCTGCTGCTCTTTGCAACACATGATATTAAAACATGGTGTGATTTTAATTATTAACCACTCAGGATGCTTTTAGTGTTATTAACCAATTACACCAAGTTACTAATGTAAGTTGGTAACTTATTTGCTGTGAGAATATATAAAAACCTAAATATTTCCCCTGTCATTCATACTAATGTGGCTCTTTTGGGCAATTTGATTGCTAATTTGGCTCCTGAACCACTGTCTGAGTATCCACTGCTTTAGAGGAAGCCATAGAAACCTATCCCCATCTACTAAGAAAGGATTCAGAAGACTCTCTCTATTCCCCATTGCACTTTGTTTCTGTTTCTAGGTGGAGGTCTGTGATGGTTCCACTACTTCGTCTTCCAGGGGTCAGAGCATCCTGAGCTTCCACTGCAATAAAATGGAGTCTGAGGGGATGCCTCCAAGGCTCATGTACAGGGCTGTACAGCAAAGGACTGTGCTGCTGACATTTGAAAACTGGACCTTCCCCAAGACCTGCGATACCGTCAACTTGAAACTCAATGTGTCTGAACACTGCATCTGCTGTAGTGACAGGCGACACCCACGCTTAGTGCTGGGCCTTGGACCACCCCATCTCCCGCTGTTGCTAAGGGTCCCGTCCTAGCAACCAGCAGCGTCAGGTGACTGACTACCTCTCTGGGAGCGGGGTCACTTCCGGGCTCGGCTCGCATCTACATCCGGGGTAGTGGACGGTTCCCCTCTCCGAGCTCAACCGCTGTGTCGGGTTCTGTGGTCAGGAGGGGCCGAGGCGCGGTTGCCTCAGCGGGTCGGAGCGCCGCGGTGCCGGACTGCCCCCACCCCACAATACGCGAAGGCGCGTTAGGTGGGCCCAGCCCCCGCTGCGCTCCCGGGTCTGCTGAGAGCCTCCCCCGTCCGCTTCGCCCTCCCCGCGCCAGGCCCTCCAGGGTCTAGCCGAGGAGCCGCTTCCCACCAGACACCGGGGCCTGCCCCCCGCCGCACGCGACTCCTAGGGGCGGGCCGAGCCCCGTGGAGCCCCGCCCCTCAGCCAAATTCCGGCCGGACCAACCTCTCTCCGCGGGGCGCGAGCGATGGGCTCTGCCCCGGGGTAGGGGCCGCGCGCAGCCGGGAGGGGAGCCTCGGTGCCCCCCCTCGGGAGGAGGCAGCGGCTGCCGGGGATCGCGCTCATGCTGCTGTCGCTCTGTGCCCTCAGCTGGCAGCGGCGAGGAGCGCCATGGAGCAGCCCGAGGGGAAGGAGGGGTTCCTGCTGGAGGCCGCCGCCCCGGGGCAGACGGGACCCGCGCTGGGTATGTGAGCAGCGGCCACACGGAGCTCGGCTACTGATCGCTAGCATCGCGGCGGCCCCTGTATTGTATCGTGCAAACCTTGTTGTTCTTGTCATGGAGATTGGGGGTGGAGGCTCTTCTCTAACGTTTGAGCGTCCAAATTGGGAATTTGAACTCGGGAAGCTGCACTCAAGTGGACATGCTTCCTTTTCTTGTGTATGTTTGACTTCTGTGAGGGAAGAGCATGTGGCATGTCTGAATTGGTTTACTTGATTTAGAGCGGCTTGTATGCACAGTGTACGTTTTTGTTGAAATCTCACTCGTCTGCTGTATTCTGTCATGGCATGATTTTGCAACTGAAACCTCATCATGTAGGGAGGTGAAAGGAGCATTACTCACTTGATGAAGTGCAAGGAACTGCAATTTACACTCCATTGCTGAGACTCCCAACTTTTATTTCAAAATAGAAAATCCATTAGTACTAACAGCTAAAGGGATTGCAATAGTTCTTAGCAGTTTAAGATGGCTACTTCTTGTTACAGATTCCTGTGAGGCATCTCCAGATGAGGGACTAATAGAAGATTTGGCTATTATAGATAAGAAAGCTGTGGAGCAACTAACTGAAGGATTGATTTCTCATTATTTACCTGATCTTCAGCGATCAAAACTAGCCCTCCAAGAGCTCACGTAAGCAAACTGAAAAAAACAACTCTTTCTAATACATGCATTTCCTCTCTAGAATTTCTTCAGTCAAATTCCCTTCTTCTGTGTAAGTGGAATATATTTTCCTGTAGTATAGTTTACATATAAAATAGACTTTTCTGTGCTTTGAGTGCAGCACTTTGAACAGTGAGTGTATATTCTGCAGATTATAAGTATAATTTTAAAAGAATTGCCAGCCATTAAGATGGACAATTTTAAAATTAAAGCACTGAAATCCATGCACCCAGTCACAGCAAAAGACACATCAACTTTCTAAGTGCTCATTCTTTTTCTGGAGAGATATAACCTTGTGCTGTACAACTTTATTTGGAGAAAAAATCCAGTATTTGAGATGTTCTGTTAAAACGGTGATTGCAAGAAAGATATTTTTAATTTTTTTCTTGCAGGTATGAAACTCCCAGACTCTACTTTTAATTAGCATACACTGTTTTGTTTCATTGCTTAACATTTATAAGAGTCCCCTCCGTGTGCATTGCTCTAAGACACTGTTGGGATTTCCAGCAAATGTCTTTGCTGTGCTTAGAATTTTCCAAATAGTGCACAAGAACATTTTAGTAACAGGAAGAGAGATAGCAAGTCCTTTATAACTGTTTAATTAGAATTCATTTAAATGTCAGTTTAAAAAAAAAAATCTGCAAAGACTCAGTTCCTTTATCTATTTCTGTAGGTTTCCTGATTATTCCTCATCTACTAATATGCGGGAAAAACTATTTAGTACAAACGAAATAGTTAATCTGAAAAATTCTCTTGGAAAGTTGATTTTTATACAACTTATTTCTGGCATTATATCCTCATTAACAATCAGTATGTTAAGATTTCAGTGAAGAGAACAGTAGTAAAACTCAAAATTGTGAGTACTCTTTAATAAATCCAACATAGTCTATTTAATCCATTGGTTCTCAAACTGGGGCCGCCGCTTGTGTAGGGAAAGCCCCTGGTGGGTCGGTCCGGTTTGTTTACCTGCCCCATCCGCAGGTCTGGCCGATCGCAGCTCCCACTCGCGGAGGGATGTACTGGCCACCGCTTGCAGCAGCTCCCATTGGCCTGTAGTGGCAAACTGCGGCCAGTGGGAGTTGCGATTGGCCGGACCTGCGGACGGGGCAGGTAAACAAACCGGCCCAGTCTGCCAGGGGCTTTCCCTACACAAGTGGCGGCCCCAGTTCGAGAACCACTGATTTAATCTGACTTCTGATGTGTGTCTTAAAGTCTTTGTATTTTTGTTTCAGACAGAATCAAGTAGTGTTACTAGACACATTAGAGCAAGAAATTTCAAAATTCAGAGAATGCAATTCCATTCTTGATATCAATGCTTTGGTAAGTGTATTCTATTATAAGTTTGCCTATGTTTTAACAAAAAAATTTATATGTACATGTATTGTTTTTCATCCCCAGAGAAAATGTTATAAATAGACTACTAATAATCATTACATCAATAAGTCTGTTCTTTGTAAATTGGAAATTACAACAGAACCAACATGATTCTGTTAAATGGAAAGAGGAGAACGTGGAGAACTGCTCAAGTCTGTACAGGTATGTATACACTGCAATAAAAGATCTGCAACATGGTGACTTCTGGCCTGGGTCAGCTGTGGGCTTGCAATGCGTGGGGTGTGAAGCTATAAAATTGAAGTGTAGACTTTCGGGCTTGGCCTGGAACCTGGGCTCTGAGACCCTGCCCACTAACTGGGTCTCCGAGCCCAGGCTCCAGGCCGAAACCAAGTGTCTACACTGCAATTTTATAGCCACCAGGCCAAGCCCTGTGAGCCCAAGTCATCTGACCCAAGCCAGCTGCGGCCCTGCCATGGGCCTTTTATTGCAGCGTAGACATACCCTTACTGGCCTGCAGATGAGGGATTAGCAGGCATAGACAGTCGGTCCAGCTATATAAATCTAGAAGCCAAAATCAGTGCATAAAGATTGCATATGCTACTGAGGCTCCAGGAGCAGCCATTGGGTACCCATGGTACTCTGTGTCCTACTCCTCAGGTTGGTGGAAGGATTCTGGTTCACTTTCGTACATTTACTCAGGCTGTGCACAGGGACCAGCATTTGGTCCTTTAATTTAGTTGCATATTTTTTGAGTTTGAGTTTGTTAGTGGTAACTTGAGGGAATATTCTAACAACAACAACAAAAATTCACAGCTGTACTTCATGATTGCCATAGTTTAAGGCAAGTGACAGTGTCTTATAGAAATTGCATATGCAGTTGTGACGTATGAAGCTAACTTTGTGTTTGTAAGAACTTCAGGAAATTATAAGGTAGGCTTGAGAATTAATTAAGTGTGGAACCATAAGAGCTTGTATTTTACGACTAGCACTTGCTAAGCTTCAGCCACATTGGGATATAAAACTGAAAACTAATGAGCATGCAAGTGATAAAATGCTTTCTTCTACCTTAATGAATATTTACATAATTATAGTAATCTGTACCCTTTGATACATAGTAGTTATATTAAAATTGTTTTAAGTATTTAGAATTAAGACCCTAAAATATTCAAGCCAGTCTCAAACTGACTGGTCTTCAGCCTGTTTTTGAAGTTGCTGTTTTAGGGCATAGCTTTATACTCCAGACTAAGAAACATTTTGATCCACTGAATCTTACCATTCCACTGTCTTGTATTTTTAAAGTTTTCAGAAGCTAAACATTATCACAGCAAGCTAGTGAATATTAGAAAAGAGATGATGATGCTCCATGAAAAGACATCAAAGTTAAAAGTGAGTGGAGTGAGTTTGCTTCCTTGTTTCCGCTGCTTATCAATGTAGAATTTTAACAGCATACTATCACATACTCTTAATCAGTATTTTTAATACATTAGGAATTTGTAAGAAAAACCTGGTTCTTTATATCCCCTCTCTTTGTGTAAACTTGTTTACCCTGTATTTCCAATGGCATTGAAACTAACCATAGCTGTTTTTAACCTTCACTTAAATTTCCTTATGTTAAAATATATTTGTATGCTAGCATCACTGGTGATGTTGAACTATTAAGAAAAGCTAGATTCTGTCTAAAAGCTGAGGCTGAGAATTTCTTCTGCCTCTCCATCCTTTAGTATAACACCAACAATGGCATAACTTCTACCAACCTGGTGGGCTGCTGTATATAGCATGTTTGACTTCATTCAGCTGTTAAATTTGGTCCTTTAGTCCTTAGCCAGCAAAAAATTAAGTCCTCTGTGGAGGCAATAACTTGCATAGTATATACTCCTCTGGTGTTCTTAAAGAGCAGTGATAGTGGGATTTGGAGGAATCCAGTTCGTTCCTCCCCTAAATACATCCTCACGATGCAGGGCCTGGGGTAAAGGGCAGGGAAAGAAGATAGTAAGAAAGAGGGAGGGGTCCTCTGGATTAAGAGGGCCTGAGAGGGTTTTGGCAAGATCTCAGTCATGTGTGCATGTGTCTTGCATTTAAGTTAGGTTCCAAAAACCACAGACCTTCTGATTAACTTTGGTTTTTTTTTTCTGGCTCAGAAAAGAGCACTCAAACTGCAGCAAAAGAAACAGAAAGAAGAACTTGAACGAGAACAGCAACGTGAGAAGGAACTTGAAAGAGAGAAACAGTTAACAGCAAAACCAGCTAGAAGGACATGAAAGCTGAGCATACATCAACTTGTCCAAATTAATTATTTTTAAATTCTATGGACTTGTTAAGGCAGACTCTGTTATACTGGTGAGCTAAAGTTGTTACTGGGGAAAGAGTCTCTTGTACAGTATTATAAACTCCAGAATGCTAAGAACCAGTTGGTAAATTGCCGCTTTTCCATTTCAGCCATTCAGGATGCCTTCTTTTCTAATGCTATGCTGTTTGATATTAATCATAATGTAAATTTAGTTTTGATATATGCAGAGGAATTTAAATGTCATAATTTTAATTACATATCTGTTAATTTTCCATTTGTTTTTTCTGATGTTTGAAATATTGGATAAGAAATAGTAGGCTGTGTATTCTTTCAGACAAAATGTTGAATGTGGTTGGTGCAGTTTGGGAGTTCAGTTATGATCCAGGGACATCCGCAGCTCTGTACCCTTCTGAGGTTGCTTCAATTCAGATGTCTTTGTCTTCTTGTTGAGTCCACAGGTCACAAATATCTGTGCCAGTTAGGTATAGTGGATCTCCCTCCCCCAATTGCTATATAACTGAGTGTTAAAGCCATATGATATTACTGATCATGCGTGAGAAGTACAAATGACCTCCTTATGTTGGGACTCTTTCCTCCGTTCTTCCCTCCTCCCCCCCACTCCCTCCACACACTTAGGCTGATGGCCCCAGTTTATTTGGGTGAAGCTCCCTTTATTTCAGCAATCTTCCTTGGATCTTATAACTACATGGTTTGAGATGATCACCTCTGACTATTCCCCAAGCCCGACAGGATGAATGTGAAAAACATGTTAAATTAAGATTGGCATAACAATGCATGCATGGTACAAGAGTGATCCTATAATGGAATTGCCAGCCCTTGTGCTTGGATAAATGCTTTCTTGGATGGCCGTGATTCAGACCAAAGTAATTGAAACTAAGGTACGGGTTAGAGAGGGAGATTATGAAGCCAAGTCAGTTGTATTGTTAAACAGATCTCAAAGGATTCAAAAGCTGTAGATTTCATTGCTTTCTATGTAATAGACACTATTTTAAATTCATTTACATCTTTAGGAAAAATTCTTGCAGTGTAATATTATTTCATGCATTTGACCCAGTTTTAACTCTTAGACTTAAATGAGAGAAACTGCTTCACATGGTTAAATTTTTTTACCAGTGCTGATGACAACTAGTACTGAAAAATTGTATCGGGGATGCTCTTAAGTGAATGTGGGGTGGGGATTAACTACAACTTCTCTGAATGTGTAACTGTTTTCTTATAGAATTTGGTACAGCCTCCTGTTCAAATGAATATATACACTGTTTAACAGTCTAGATAAACAAAGTAGTTATTTTACATCTGTACCTTTTGAATCAATATTAGTAAAATATATGTTGTCATCTGAGCTGACTTGCTTATCAGGAAGTAAGTAAGATTAAGTGTAAACTTTGTGTAAGCTATTTATAAAAATGGATGGCAAGACATTTAAAGGGATGCCAGCTTGAAATCAAATTGGTTTTTAAAAAATAATTAAAAGTAGTTTCAAATGCTACATACGCCTGCCCTGATTCCTCAATATTTATGATGTTACAACTAAATGTTTCTATTTTTTAAATGGTTTTCCTTTTTCTTATGTGAATGACCTTCTCAAACAGGGAAATAGCAAAACTAACTATATGTAAAGTGCCATCCAATTCATAGTGTAAACAAGGAGGTGAGGGGACAAAACTCTCTTAATTTTTCAGTTGCAGTAATTAAGTAGATACTTGTAGCAATAATAGATTAAAAAAATTCAGGCAGGTGTTTTTGTTTGTCTTTTTTTAATTGACTTTGCAGGAGAATTGTTGACCTATATTGTGTGGGGTTTTTTTAATGCATTTCTAAAACAATATGTACAAAAATGCTAAAATCCGTTTTTGAAACAGTGTAAATAAATTAAATAATTTTAAATATTAACCTCTTTTTTATTTTGTAATGTATTGCACAATTAGATTTTGAAAATACACTTTAATAAGAACTATTTTTATAGCAGGAAACTAGATGCGTCAGTCACACATCCAAATCAAAATTAACTTCCTCTGCTAAACTTTTTTTTTTTTTGCTCCCTAGTAGAGGGGAAAAATACATTGTTTCAGGCTATGGTAGCTTTCTAATAGTGAAGAATTGTTTTAAAAAATTGTGATTGTTCTCTATTATGCAGAATAGAGAAATCCAAACATTGAAATTAATGAGTAAGCAATTTACATGGTTCATCATTTTGGATTAACTTGTCATCTGTTGAAGAAAGTTAACCTGACCGTGTTTTATTGAAGAACCTCAATGGCACTTGGAGAGAGGAAAAGTAAAAACGTACTGGACATCCATCCACTGCCAAAAAGGAAAAAAGCAGCAAATAAGTAGCTGAGACTTTTTTTTAAACAAAGACCCCGGATATAGTGGGGTAAATAGGATAAATGGAAACTTTGAAAAGTGTGGAATTTGATATAACTTTGGTTACATAGAAATTAAAAAAAAATATGATACTAGTCAGAGCTGTAACTCAGATCCTGTAGAGCAGAGAATTATGCCTCACAAAATTGCATCTTCACAGGGAATGTAATAATTTTTGCCCAGACTTCTGTAAAATCTCTTTATTAATGGATGGGGTTTTCTTTTTCAAATTGTCCTGTTGCAGTTAAACCAATATGACAGAGAGAGGAAATATCCAACCTAACCATTTTTTCTAGAGCTCAGCCTTGCAAAATTCTACTTGGCTGGAGCAAGAAACTTTCCTTTTATAAGCAAGTAAAATTCTAGTTAGTTTTTTCCATCATCCTTATGGTAAGTGTGTGTGTGCTGGGGTGTCTTTTTCTCAATTGCATCAATGGGGATCATACTACTTGACTACCTCACAAACCTGTTGAGATTAACATATGTGAAGCACTCTGAAGATGTATAATTGCATGTGTTGTGGACATTGTCTAAACACAAAGTTGGACTGATTTGTAACTTTTAATTTCTAAATCAATACAACCCCACATTGTGTATGCAGTTATACTGATTATTTGTTTATATCGAGTGTGTTTTGGTAAAATCTGTATTGATAAACACCTTTTTATTGGTATAAATGTGAACCTGCTATGCTAGGGGGATGCAACCAATTTAACTATCTTTTTAGAAACCCATACTGTTAAATTGTTGCAACTTGTGTGTTATACAAGGCTTTTATTTTATTACTTGCCACAAGTATCCAATTTGCTTTTTAAACTACTAATGTACATCAGGTGCATGTCTTCATTCAGCTATTCAATTGCTCTTTAGCCTTTATCTTCTGAGGAGTCCATACATTTAGAGAGTATCATCACAGAAGCGAATGGTAGACGTAAAAAATTCCCTTAACATTGCTCCTATTTACCAATCCCTAGAGTACCCCACTGTTCTCCTTTTTTTGCTCAATTTCTTCTTCCTTAATCAATTTTTAATTCACAACTAGACTTTGCACTTTGTCTCCTTTCTTTCCTTAAAGATAATTAAGGGAAACTGATGCTTTTTTTAAAATTCAGGTAAATTATTCTCACTTCTTTCCTCTTAATTACAACTTTGATATCAATGTAACATTTGTTTGCAAGGTTTCAAATAATTTTTTTTAAACTCCTCAGAATTTCAGTATCTGAGAAGGTACTTAATTCATAATGCTTCTGTAAACAGACTTTACTGCCACGTAGTGAGCATATGTAGTACTTCATGTCCTACCATTGCTGTGTCTTCTGTAAGTTCATTCTAAAATTCAACAGCTAGGGCCCTGGTCCTGCAAAAATCTATTCAGATGCTTAATTTTACTAATGTGAGTAGTTTCATTGACTTCAATGAGTAAAATTAAGCACATCAATAAATCTCTGCAGAATTTGAGGCTAACAGTGTGTGCATGCAAGACCATAGGAGAGAGAGTAATCAGATAAACTAATGGGACTATCCACGCCAGTAAGAACGGTTTAGTAGTAAGTGTTAATATAGAGCCTGATCCTGCAAATAATGTCACCAAACCAAGGAAGAGAATAGAAAAGGTGTGAGTTGGCAAAAGAAGAGGAAGGAAGAAAAGCTCTTATGTGAGTGTTTATTGTGGTATAGCTCCTTTGACTAAATGCCTGTATTGTATTTTTACATAAATCAAAATAGAGTAACTGTCTTTGGCTCTAGGGAGCTGTAATTTATATATATTTTAAAATACACAGTATTTTAAATTCCCAAAAATCTCCCCTTAGCCAAAAATAGCCGAGCAACAAAAAGAAACCATAAATACTTTTATAAACCTGCCAATTTCCCAGTGTTACCTATCTCAAATATTCAGAAACCATGCATGAGGCATGTGCAAAAATCATGAGATTTAAAAAATAATAAATGGGGTGTGTGTGAGGGGGTGTTCTGGGTTTTGATCTAAGATTTATATTTTTAAGTTTTCCTCTACAACTATCAGAGGTAAACATCTTTTTTTTTAAATGCTGAAAATTTTACAATCCCATGACTCTAGGAGCTGGGGTTTCATGGAAAACACCAAATATCATGAGATTGTGATACAATTACTGAATTTGTAAATTTTGACTTCCATCATAGTTATTTGGCAAGTTGGGGTGAGTGGCAGCTGACAATTGAGGGTGGTGGAAACTAGCTGAAAGAAAATGAGTTTTGATGAAGGATTTGAAGGAAACTGATGAAGCTATTTACTTTCTAGGCATAGAGGGTGGCATGGGGGGAAAAATTACAAAGGTGTGAGTGAGTAAAAGAGACTAAGACCATCCCCAACAACAGGTTCCATGTGGGAACAGGGGCCCTCCCACACACAACCAATTTCTGAATAAGAACTAGAGAGAGCAGTAATGGGAAGGCTGGGGGGAATACTAGGGGGTGAGGACTGAGATGTAGGCAGGGACAGAGTTTTGAAAGTCTAAAGAAAGAGTCAGAATTTGGAACAAAAAAGGATACCCATAAATAGGTTGGGATAGCTAGATAATTTGTGCTGCAGCATTTTGGATAGAAGGCTGCATGGTGGGAAACTTGGAAGCCGGAGAGGAGGAGATTGTAACAGTTGAGGTGAAAAATGACTGAGGTATGAACAAGAAGGGATTGTAAAGGAAGAACTGATGGGAGCTACATTGGTATTGTTTCAGATGAGTTAGAGATAACAGAGAGAGAGAAACATTTGACTCTCCCCCCCCCCCCCTAATTCACAGCAACATTTTCCCCCAAAATAGTGTACTTGAAGGCAACATGGAGGCAGTGGTATGCCTGCTCACAATGCAGTGTGCTTTTGGTGATGCAACATGAGCTGTGTGGCCACAAGGGGCAGAGTCTGAGCGCATTCTACCAAAATAGGTTGGTTGGTCTCTGGTACGGTGCCACTGTTCTGTTGACATAACTTTCTAGAGTAGACAAGACCTCATTATCAATCCAAAAAACTTGTGACTCTAATAGTCACTGTCTAATCTCAGATCCCCTGCCTACAGTACATGTAATTGGAAAAAGCTGTTTACACATCAGCCATAATAAAGCACCCTTCCTTGGGTTTTTCCTCTTTCTAAAGTGGTATCTAAGTTATTCATAAATGTACTAATTCACTCAGTTCAATACTGAGGTCATTCCTCAGTAATATGTTTTGGCTATAAATGACTGGTATTCATTATTACTATGAGACCTCCATCATGACGGTTTGCCTTTGTCCTGACTCTGGCTCCCTCTTGCAGTGTTTTTCAAAGGGTTTCATATATTGATTCTAGAACAAACTTCTGCTAATCATTGGAGTGCCTCAAACATCATTAACAGGTTTTCTTTTCCAACTTTAGGTGACTTATGTGGCACCATTTGGTCTGAATTTCTGGGCCCAGATCCACAGAGACACTCAGGCACCTAAGGCCCTGTCTACACTTTTGGTGGCATGTAGGGTACACGTAGCTACATTCTGCAGGGAAAAGCAGCCTGCAGCCACGCTGCAGTGTGTAGCTACATGCTGCAGTGAAAGGCTCTGGCAGGCAGGAGGTAGAAGGAATCTGCCAGAGCCTTTCCCCGCTTCCTCCCCCCACCCAGAGCCTTTCCTGGCAGCTGGAGTCTTTCACTGCAGTGAGGGATGTTACACTGCTAAAAATAGCAGTGTGAATGGGGGAGGTATTGCTTGGGCATGTAGAGACACGAAGGGTATATACCTAGGGTTGTGGTGTGCCTGTACTCTACTTGCCTAACCAGTGCATCATCAACTACAGTGCTATTTATGCCCATGCTAGCTGAGCATCCCGTGTCTGTACTCTACATGAATAACAAGGAGTCTGGTGGCACCTTAAAGACTAACAGATTTATTTGGGCATAAGCTTTCGTGAGTAAACCTCACTTCTTCGGATGCATCCGAAGAAGTGAGGTTTT